TTTAACGGAGAGCTGACAGAAGGACGTTTTGCGCAAAAAAAAGGTAAAGGTAAGGGTGTAATCCGCCAAAAAATGAAAGGTAAGGACGTTTTCCACAAAAACATCGAAAGGTAGGGATGTTTTGTGCTAATTACCCTTTTTGAATTGTAAAATCACAAAAAAATTTAAAAAGAAAATTAAAATTTTCTTCCTTACCACTAAAAAAAATAAAAAGACTTTAACTTTTCCACTTTTTATTACTTGTTGTAGGGATGGATTCAGAAAGTGTTGATAATGTGTTTATTCCACAAGTTTTTCTTAGTCAAATATCCAAAGTTGGATATGAATTTGAGTCGCATGAAGATGCCTACAGTTTCTATAATCAGTATGCACGAGAAGCGAGATTTAGTACAAGAATTGCAAATAGTAATAAAATAACAAAACAAACGAGACTTAGTGAAAATTATTTGTGTGCTCAAAGGAAGGAAAAACGGATGATACTTGTTTCGCGCGTGTTAATTCGCTAACAATTAAAGAGGATCAGACGATTGTGTAAGGGACGAAACCTCTTGAGACAAAGTCCCAAAAAGGGGTGTTCTTTTTATTGGCGATGAACTTTACAATTGGAAACGGAAAACAACGTGCCTCCAAGGGGCGCAAGCACACGAGTTACAGAAAAGGAAGTGTTTAAGTCTAAAAGCTAAAGGAATGAAAATTACATATTCTCTGTTCGAGAGTTTTGGATTCGGTCCTTTGCTTCTAAGTTCTTTCTCCCTTTTATACTTCATAGGCGATCCCTTTGTGATTAACTGCTCTAAAAACTGCTTGATCGCCCTATAACTACCCACTTTCTTTGTAGTGGCCATTTTGTCATGAAACTGTCCTTTTAACTGCTGCCATTATCTTGCATCGTTCAACCGCTTTCGATTGAATCCCTTGAGTCGTGGAACGTGATAAGTTTACTTTAGCAACTGCCTCAATAACTGCATTTCTTAATAATCATAATGCGTTATGTTTGTTGATACCTTGGGCGACTTGAAGATTTGGGCGAGACTCTGGGCGACCGTATGCCACTCTA